GGTAATCTTTATATGTAGGCACTTTCCACTTCCCAGACCTAACTTCTCCAGAGGCAGGACGCTCCTCTGATGCAGAAACACCTGTTCCAGAATTTTCCTACAAGTCACCACAATATTGAAATTAAATTATATTGTGCATACAGTTATCCACAATCAACTTTAGGATTTTTTAATGGTTTTAACCTTTAAAGTCCTATGCAGTCTGGGACCAACATACCTTCAAGAATGTCTCTCCCGGTACGTCCCCAAAAGAGCATTACACTCTATAGATCAACATCTACTGGTGATCCCTGGCCTGAAGGATGTCCGCCTAGCCTCAGCCAGAGCTTTTTCAGCTCTGGCACCGGCCTGGTGGAACAGTCTCCTGAGTGAGATCCGGGCCCTGCAGGACTTAATGCAGTTCCACAGGGCCTGTAAAACAGATGTGTTCTGCCAGGCCTATGGCTGAGGTGATGCGAATCCAAATTGTAATGGCCTCCCCTTGCTCTGCTGCTCTGTTGCTTTGTTCCATCTGCATTGTTTCCATCTTGAATTGATTTCATCTGCCTGTCCTCCTCAATTTTAGTTACATCTACCTGCACGTATATAGGGAGCCTCCGGGAGCAGATTAATTATTGGTGCCATCAATAGTTGTTTATTATTATAAACTGAAATATTGATTTTAAACTGTTTATTATGTTTTAATTGGTTGTATTATGTTGTTTCTACATTGCTGTAACCCGCCCTGAGCCTGCTTGCGGGGGAGGACAGGCTAGAAGCCACATAAATAAAATAAATAAATATTATACTAGAAACCAAAACTAAACCACAATCCATTGATTTCAATGGGCCTAGACTGGAGTAACTTTGGTATGATTGCCCAATTTCAGAAGGATAACAGAGAATACAGGACCATTCTGCCAGCATATACTAGCTATTTTATTCTGTGACACTGCTGGAATACTTACAATATACATTTCTTTACATTTAGAAAAACTGATCAGTCTCCTGGAATTCAAGTATGTCATTCTACTACAGTTTCAAAGTTTTATTACTTAAAATGGCTGAGATAGCAAATCTAAGCAATAACAATACCCCTGAAATGTTGAGGATCAGGAGCAAATTCAAAATGTTTTGAAACTGACATCTCAAATTGCAAACAGTAATTTATGAAGAAGCGGAGAACTCTCAGACAAACCACTAATTCTTTCACAGATTTACTATTCCATGTCCCTCAGTGCAAAATATAACTCAAGAAGACCCACAAGCTGAACGGACCAGCATACACAGACACCAGAGGTGCCCCAAACCCACTATCACATTACTGGTCAAGATGACTTGGAAGAAATTTTCATATAACAGGTGGGTTATTACCCTAAGGCAAGGGTTATCCAAAGGTACCCTCTGTACAATGTTAGCACCAATTGCACTATTTAACATTTTCACCTTAAGCTGAGGATCTCCCATACTTGAAATAAAGAAAAAAATAAGGGTACAGTGTACAAAACCACGAGAGGCAAAAAAACCCCAAACTCTTTAAGATAGTTACAAGAAACAATGTTTTTTCTACTTTATGCATATTTTTAATACCAAAAATAACCCTCAACAAAACTTACCCTTAAAAAGGCAAGTGGTTTAGAACAGACTCTGATCAGACCTTGATGCACTGAAAATAAAAAATATTTCAACACTTCTTTTAAAAAATTAAGTGCAGTAAGAAAAGTGAATATTCTAACACGTTAAAAGGAACTCTTTGTAACATTTAAAAGAACATTTACAATCCGCAACTACTGTCATTTAACATCTTGCTCTATTGATTACCCCGTGTGCACTGGGAGTTGAAAGTTGAGAAAGGGGAACGAGAATATTGAAAGAGGCAGCAACTGGAAGCACATTATGAATAAATTTAATTTTGTGAATAAAATGCAAAAGTTTTAGAAGAGAAAACTGAATCCAACAATTCCAGGAGCTCAATAAATATTTTGCAAACTTCTCTCTTGAACTTGAACTAGCACTAAAATGGGGGGGGGGATCACCTCCAGATTTAAAAAAAACAAACAAACTCACCCACAGTGCTCATAATACTCCACAATACAGGGCCTTTGCTGGCAAGGGCTAAAAAAACCTTTACAATGGATTTGTGACATGTAGATTGCATTTTTATGCTGTATTGTGGGAAACTATCAATCTGCACCACAATCAGGCGTTCAAGAACTGGAGAGTATACTTCAGGAATCTAAAAGGGAAAAAAATGGTATATTAGGACGAAACACCTGCAAGTTCAAACGGGAAAATATTAAGGACAAGAGAAAAAATGAATACAACTATCCTCATCAGCAGCAGGTTCACACAGCTCCTAAATGATAGAAGAACAGATTCACTAATGAGTTTTAATTTGCTTACTTACAGTATCTAAGTGGAATATGACACTTGCAATGGATTGAAGGAAGCTTGGTAGCTGATATACATGGTCATCCATGGTTTCTGCCTCAGTGAGATACATTTGCTTGCAGCGCTGAAGGAGCTCAACATACATGAAGTCGACATCCTTAGAATTGATAGCTTTGCATGGCTTTAAAAAGAAAGAAAAATACAAATATTAAGTAATTAGAGTAAGATTAAAATGAGATTAAGATACATGTTCCAGTAATCACTGGACATGATTCATGTCACTGGACCAGTTGTCCTCACAGATATAGGACCCATGCACTGAAGATTCTGACCAGTTCAAAGCACGGATTTCTTCAACTACCCACACATTAGAGTAAATGGGAGATCCCATTCATATCTCTCATACCATACCCAGAATTTTACCTGAAGTACTGTGAGGCATATGTGTGTGAGGGAGAAGAAGAAGAGATTGTATTTATATCCCACCCTTTACTATCCAAAGGAGTCTCAGAGCGGCTTACAAACTCCTTTCTCTTCCCCTCCCCACAACAGACACCCTCTGAGGTAGGTGGGGCTGAGAGAGCTCTGACAGAAACTGCTCTTTTTCAAGGACAGATCTTATCAGAACTATGGCTTGCCCAAGGTCATCCAGCAGGTGCAAGTGGAGGAGTGGGGAATCAAACCCAGTTCTCCCAGATTAGAGTCCGCGCACTTAACCACTACACCAAACTGGAGCACAAAATGGGATATGAAAGGCTGGTACAATCTTTTCATTTACCTAAATAACCCCTTCCACTGCCTGCTCCCACATTTAAGTAGCACAAACAGGCAGGACAAACAGAGAGAAGAAAAAAATGCCATGCTTCCCATTCAGTTATCCTGAGTTGAAGTGCTAGACTGCTAAGGTTAAGAAAAAGGTGAGCCAAAATTACTCTGCAAGCACTACAGTGATTGCCTATTAGTTTATTTCCCCTGAAAATCCTCATGGGCTCTCAAGCTATAGCAACATTGAACTTCTAGCATCACCTACGCATTTATTAATTTTCAAATTGTAGTAAGAATATTTTTTACATAACCTATGACAAAAAAAACTAGGAAAGATGTGACATGTTCTTTACTGGATCAACAGCAATGCTACTACCCAGCTCTCCAACGATTTTATCTCTTTCTGCAACCTTTAGCCACTCTAAAAGGCTTCCTGAAAAGCCCTCTATCCCCTCTGGAGCCAATTTTCTGAGCGCTAAAGATTGGGAGGAAATTGGCAACCTCTCTGACACAAGCAAGCAGTACTTTCTGTTTGCACAGTGTAGTCACTGGATCCCAGCCATTTTCAATAAACCTCATTCTCAACATGGCCCACCTGTGGATACTAAAATCCATGGATTGGAAAGAGGAGATGCCTCTCCCCTAAAATTAGGGATCCCCCGTAGAAAAATACAAATAAAGTAAATTGTGCCCCAAACAGAGAATCCATCTGCACCTAGGCAGACAATGGTCCTCTGCTGGTCCCATAGCATACATCCTCCTCCCCACATGTGGGAGAAGATGGAGGAGGGAGGAGCTGCCACTTCAGTCACACAGGCTAAAGCAGCACTGTAGAGGCAAGAAGAGGAAGGCAGGAGCCACCCCATCACTGTTCCCCACAAGGCTGCAGGGAAGGACAGATGGGAGAAACAGTGAGCAGAACAGCAGGCAGCAGGCAGGAAGAGCAAGGGAGAGGGCAGATGAGATTTCCCATTTCCACGAATTAAGAGCAGGCAGGTGGGGAAGGGCACAAGCCACTGCTCCCAAGCGCTTCCCCTACCACCACTGTTGCCCTCAGAGTGGCCGAGTGGAGGACAGATGGTAGGGCAAAAGAGTACGGGGGGAAGAGCACAGGTGAAGGAGATTTCACCTCCCTATCAGTTTGTCTTTGTGGGGATAGGCATGAGCCTGAGCGGCCACCACAACATCAGCCCCACCCACAAAGCAGTTGAGTTGAGGGTGGGTGACCCAAGTGGGGTTGGTGGTATCCCCCCCTCCGGTATCTCATTGATCTTTGCTTGTATTTGTCCAATTATCAAATGCCAACATTTTCAAAATTCCAAAATTAATTCAGGAAACCTAAATATTTTCTTAACAAAAATAATCAGGCTTAAGGGACAACAAAAAAACCATTATATTAGAAGTACAATGTCTCACTAATGCCAAAGCCCTTCAAGGAAGTACTATACATTCAAGTCAGTGGGAGAATCACTGCAACGTATCACAAGGTTTAGCGAAATGCCTTCCTGAAGATGCAGCTAAAATTCCTGTAGAGACAGCGTAACAGTCTACCATTTAAGAGAAGCGTGTTTATTTTCCCACCATTCAAAGTTTCTACCATGTTACTGTGTAAAGAAGTAAATTACATACTGCTGCAAAAAGGCCATATCCACGAATAGCAATGGAGAGTTCCTTGTTGCTGGAGTCCATCTTTCTGATAATACTATAAAATTGTTTCATGAAGTAGTTCAGCTTGCTCTTGTGCATTTCTGCATCCTTGGCAACCATTTCAGAGACCTGCAAATAAAATAAACATTATGGACCACAATAACAAATTAAAAGTTGTTGTTCCTTTTCTTGCACAGGGGCCATACTAATCTTCTCAGTATTTTTCTGGTTTTAGTATACATACTGCTGAAGCAAGCATGAAAAATTAAAAAGAAAAGAACAAAAACTGCTGATAAATTAATCACTATACCCAGAGTCTACTCAATAGCTTCCTCAAACCAAACAGGTAAAGATAACAATCTGCATACAGATCGTTACATAAATATCTACATACAGTATTATGATGAAAGGAGCAAATAAAGGTGTCCCAGAAGCTGCGAGAACTATTATATGAAAGTACAAGTTAAATATACAATAATCAGAAATACCTCTTAATAGAGCCATTGTGTACTGAACTTCCATGCTGAACTGCAGCTGCATTCAGACCCCTATGGGCAAGGCATTACTACACTGTAACTGGGCACAATAACAGTTTGTTTCTATGTGCACATGCTCCCCTTGCTCCTCCAACTCCTTTCATCCAGGGACATGAAATTCCCATTTTCATCAAATTCCAATTTATCATAACAACAACATGCAGGTGTCCTAATCAAAGTCTTCACATCCCACAAACCAGATCTCTAAACTCAAGGTTAAATCTTGGCTTCTGGGATGTAAAAAAACTCCAGTTTGCCAAGGCACCTGCACTCAGATGTCATGGTAAATCAGAGCTCAGAAGTTCTGCATCAAGCTCTATGCACAAAAGATGAGATGGAGGGGAGAGGCAAGCATGCAGACATGGCAACTAGCTGTGCTTATGCCCAATTGCAGTTTTATTATACCTCGTCATGATGTTTGAATGCAATCCTGGAATCATGCCTGCGCCAGTGAAATTTGCACCGCTAACAGCAAAACCATCAGATACAAAATGTGGAACAGGAAAGAAAGAAAAGAAAGGATAGATAAACGGACAGAAAGGCAGGCAGAGACAATGGGAATGAAAAAGAAGCAAGAAGGTGCAGGGATAGGAGGAGACAGGAGAAGCGATGGTGAGACTAATAAAGATGAGGGAATACAAAACAGACACATGAAATTAAATGATGAGAGAGAGAAAGAGTAAAGATTCTTTTATAGGTCACTAACCAGATATCTAGGTGGGGGTGGTAAGAATTATGTAGAGGCATCTAGTTTGAGAATCAATCAGTTGATAAAACACTGGATTATAAGCTGCATTTATTTACCTGTTTAAGAAATGCATCTAGAGCTGAATTGCTAACTTTCCGCAGTTCTGCATTCTGATGGCCACACCATTTAGACATCACTTCAAACAGTGAGACATAGTTGTCCAGAAGGCAGGTACTAAACTGAACAGCATGCACACTAAACAAATGTAGACCAGCTGCAAATTAAAAAAAAAGTTAAAATCAAAATTTTGTTCCAGCTAGACAACTGAGCATGTTCTAGCAGGCCAGAATTTTCACCTTTCTTGGTGAATTACAACAAGCTATACATTCATAGATTTAGATACTTGGACAGAAATTAGAAATGAAAAAATAATTTGCCCAAATTTCATAATTATTATAACTATCATTATTATTCTGTTTTACTTCTTGTATACAAAAAAAGGTGCATGTGCTACACAGGAGTGTGCATTCGGCATAAACTGAATTTTAAAAATACCTTATTGGTATTTTCTGGATTCCCCCCCCCCCCAGCTAGTTAGCAAGTGGGGTATTTATTCGGCTATCCAAAAATGGTTAAGCTGAAAAATCCCAAAAATATTCAGGATTTTTCAGGACCGCCAGATAGCCACAGTTAAAGGGCTCTCAGTCTCTTTAAATGCCTTCGGAGTGGACTCTCAGCTTGGAGAAGGCATTTAAAGGGGCTGTGAGTCCTTTAAATGCCTTCGGAGTTCACTTGCCACAGAGCTGTGCAGCTTGGAAAAGGCATTTAAAGGGATTGCAATCCCTTTCAATGCCTTTCCCCCTCCACTGGAAACAATGGAGGATGAGGACACCTTCTTTGGGGGCGTATAGAATTGGACCACAGGTTCAATCTTTTTGAAACTTGGGAGTTTTTTTGAGGAGGGGCGCCAGCAGCTATGCTGCAAATTTGGTGCCTCTACCTCAAAAAACAGCCCCTCCCCCCAGCCCCAGATACCCTCAGATCGATTCTCCATTATAGCCGGCAGGGACCATTAACTATAACAGTCCCCATAGGGTATAATAGAGTCAAAAAAATTGGGAATCCCGTATATTTACCAAATCCAAAATACCATACTGGTTTTTTTAAAAACAATTTTTATTAAACTTAAAAAAAAACATATACCAAATACCATACTGGTATTGGGATTTTGGAATATCATGAAATACCAATATTTTTCAGATTCAATATACACACCCCTAGTGCTATACCTATTCCAGCAAAAATAGTATGCTATCCTAAAAATATGTGTTTAATTGGTGTATTTAATATAAAATAAAAAATAAAATTCTTACCCAGAGGCACTGCATATCTCTTCAAGTCAACCTGCAATATCAAAAGTTTTGCCATTAAAAACTTGTTGCTCAAAACAACATACCAAGTATGATAATTTTGAACAAACAAATATAATACCTGTGGATTTATTGCCTTCACTGCAAAATCAAAGATCTCCTTTGAAGTCTGTGGATCTATGGGGAAATATTCAAAATTTTAAACAACCATGCTGTGGTCAGTGTGATATTAAGCCTCTTATGGTAGAAGAAATCAGGTCTTCACAAAAATCTATTCTTCAAAGAAGTTATGTTAACATAGTAAAGGTTTCCCTTGCTTGAAAGCCAGTTGAATCCGACTCTAGGGTTGCGGTGTTCATCTCCGTTTCAAAGCCAAAGAGCCAGTGCTGTCCGAAGACGTTTCCGTGGTCATGTGGCCGGCATGACTAAACACCAAGGCGCACGGAACGCTGTTACCTTCCCACCGAAGCGGTACCTATTTATCTACTTGCAATTTCTTGCTTTCAAACTGCTAGGTTGGCAGGAGCTGGAACTAGAGACGGGAGCTCACTCCGTCATGCGGCACTCAGGTCTCGAACTGCTGAACTACTGACATTCCACAGCCTGAAGTTCAGCATCTTAACCACTTGAGCTACCGCAACTCCTTATGTTAACATAGCTCCATGTTAATTTTTTTAACCATATGAAATTAAACCAATCCCCCGTAGGATCAGTGAAAACATCCAGTAAAGCCACATCCTAATTTTAATTGAACTTTCTATCCTCCCATCTATCTATGCATATGAAAGAACGTTCCCTCACCGTAAAATCAATGCCCAGGCCAAACCCCTCGACCTAGAAACACCAAATTTGGGGAGAGCGCTCCTACCATGACATAGGTGTTTACTAAGAAGGGATTTTAAAACATTCAACCCCTAAGGGGGTCAAAAGGGATAAAATGTGCTCCCACCATTGATTCCTGCTCCTTGCACCCCCCACTCTGCAGAGCTCAGTGTTCTTTTTTTTAATTTATAATTTTTATTTTTCTAAAAGTAAGAGATAAACAATATGCAAGTCATGCACCAAAGCTCTCTGGGAATAGTTGAGAGTACAACAACTTCCTTAATACCTGAGGAGTTATGAGTCCTTCAGTAGCAGTGTTACAATAGTTATAAAAAACTGTGAATTAGAAATACAATAAACTTGAATAATGCTTATTTTTTGGAATAACATCCCCTTCAATCAGGTACTCCACTACTGGGAACCATATCGCCTGAAAGGTTTTTTGAGACCTTCCCCCGTGAATGTCCCTGTGTGTGCAGAGCTCAGTGTTCTGAGGTAAAAAAACAACAGTTACAGGAGACTGCACACAGCTAATGACAGTTGAGGAAATCAGGAACGGCCAACAACCACCTGTGAGGTGCAGTAATGCTGCTGGCCCAGTCTCTCTGATGCAGTAACGCCTTAGTGATCCTGCTGGCCCTGCTTCCACAGTGGTTTCTAAGACTCCTACCCCTCCTACACTGGACAGGCAGCTGCCTATCACGTATAAGAGAGGAGGTGGGATACTTACAGCCGCCGGGGAGGTTTGCTCAGCAGAATTACCTTAGCCCTGCTGCTGGCCCAGCCTCTCCGGTGCCTTTAAATACAATCCCCCCAACACCAGACAGGTGAGTGTCTGTTAGGTGTAGGAGCAGAGCCGGGGTATTTTAATCCATCAGGGACGCTGCCCCAGCAGGATCACCTTAGCGATGCTGCTGGCCCAGCCTCTCTGATGATTTCCAACACACTCCCCCCACCTCCCACACCTAACAGGCAGTTGTCTGTCAGGTGCAGCAGTGGATGCAGGGTGCTTAAGGCCACAAGGGAGCCCGCCTCAGCAATAACGCCTTAGCAATCCTGCTGGCCCAGCCTCCACAGTGGCTTCTAATACTCCTTTCCCCTCCGCCTCCTACACTGGACAGGCACCAGACAGGCAGGTGTCTGTCAGGTGTAGGAGCAGAGCCAGGGTACTTTAATCCATCAGGAATGTGCCCCAGCAGGATCACCTTAGTGATGCTGCTGGCCCAGCCTGTCTGACGGCTTCCAACACACTCCCCCCACCTCCTACACCTAACAAGTGGTTGTCTGTCAGGTGCAGCAGCGATCGCAGGGTGCTTAAAGCCACGAGGGAGCCTGCCCCAGCAGTAACGCCTTAGTGATCCTGCCAGCCCTGCCTCCACAGTGGCTTCTAATACTCCTCCCCCATCCCCCTCCTACACTGGACAGGCAGCTGCCAGGAGGAGGCAATTTAGGAACGTGGCAAAGACATTTGCACATAGTACTCCTGCAATGCACTGAGCTGCACTGGCCAAGTACCAGCAAGATCACTCTGAGGTGCTCAGAACAACACAGTTTCCATATGAGCAAAACAATCCAGGAACACAAGTAGAGAGGCCATCACTTTCGTGGAAGCAGGAGCTGACTTAACAGACGACTGCTTCTTAAATGGACAGTTCTATGTGGCCTGCTCCAGAGTGAGCTCATCAAGCAGCCTGGTGATCCTAGCACCTGAGGGCAGAACCACAAATGTGGTCTAGAGAGAGGTCCTTCAGTAGACAAAAAAAAAGAAAAAGTATATATGTCTCACTTCATTTCTTACACTACAATCTTCTCTGTTAGAATTCCTACAACAAATGTCACATTTCAAACTTCATATCATCGGTATTATAACTGGAATTACGGAACTTAAATATCATAGCGAAGCACGGGTATCAGGCTAGTCTATATGTATTTTAAAAAGTCCCCTCACCATAAAATCAACATCCAGGCCAAACCCCTGCACCTAGAAACACAAAATTTGGGGAGACAACTCCTGCCATGACATAGATGCTCACTAAGAAGGGATTTTTAGAAATTTGACTCCTAAGGGGGACAAAAGGGGTAAAATGTGCTCCCCCCATTGCTTCCCCGTATGTGGCTGCCAGGCTGCTGCCTCCTTGCACCCCCCTCACTCTCTGATTGGTCAGCTGCAGAGCTCAGTGTTCTGAGGTAAAAACAACAACACAGTTACAGGAAACTGAAGACAGCTAATGATGGTTGAGGAAATCAGGAATGGCCAACCATCTGTGAGGTGCAGCAATGCTGCTGGCCTAACTTCCCCAATGGCTTCCAACGCACTCCCCCCCACCTCCTACACCTGATAGGTAGCTGTCTGTCAGGTGCAGCAGTGATTGCAGGGTGCTTAAAGCCATCAGAGAGCCCGCCCCAGCAGAAACGTCTTAGCAATCCTGCTGGCCCAACCTCCAAAACAGCTTGCAATCCCCCCACCCCCTCCCCCACTGGACAGGCAGCTGCCTGTTAGGTACAGGAGAGGGGGTGGGATGCTTACAGCCACTGGGGAGGCTTGCTCAGCAGGACTGCCTTAACACTGCTGGTGGTCCAACCTCCCCAATGCCTTTAAACATACTCCCCCCCAACACCAGACAAGCGGGTATCTGTCAGGTGTAGCAGCAGGGCCAGGGGACTTTAATCCATCAGGGAGGCTGCCCAAGCAGAAACACCTTAGCAATGCTGCTGGGCCAGCCTCTCCAATGGCTTTGGACACACTCCCACCCACTGCAGGAGCAGGGGCAGAGCATTGAAAGCCATCAGAGAGGCTGCCCAAGCAGCATCGCCTTAGCAGTCCTGCTGGCCCAGCCTCCCCGAAGCCTTCAGACACACTACCCCTCCTATACCTGACAGACAACCACCTGTCAAGGGTTGGAAGGGGTGCAGAGTCCTTAAAATTGTCAGGGAGGCTTGCTCAACAGGATTGCCTTAGCACCCCTGCTGGCCCAGCCTCCCTGATGCCTTTAAACACAATCCCCCCCTTACACCAGACAGGTGAGTGTTTGTCAGGTGTAGGAGCAGGGCTAGGATACTTTAATCCATCAGGGAGGCTGCCCCAGCAGGATCACTTTAACAATGCTGCTGGCCCAGCCTCCCTAGTGGCTTTAGCCACACTCCCACCCGCTATGGAAGTATACCCCAAATTTTTAGAAAAGTGCTTTCCTGTATTAGGTTATTTAACTTCTCACAATGTGGGTTCTAGAAAATTGGTTCATATGAACTTGCTAAATATCTAATTGCCTGAATGTTGTTTTGAATATGTAGCTATGTGCCACTTCTTAAATGGAACATAAATGAGAAGCATTTTTTAAAGTATGCCCTGCACACACACCCCAAAAAAATCCATGCCCAAGAAGAACCCCTGTACCAAGAAACCCAAAAAAAGGGGAGTGTATTCCTACTATGATGTCAACCCAACTACGGAAGAAAACTCCTTCGAGTTCAAGAGGCTGCAGTTCCCCCTCAAGGTCTGCTTTACTATGACCATCAACAAGTCCCAAGGTCAGACATTGAAGGTGGCAGGAATTGACTTAACAGACTGCTTCTCACATGGACAGTTCTATGTGGCCTGCTCCAGAGTGAGCTCACCAAGCAGCCTGGTGATCCTAGCACCTGAGGGCAGAACCACCAGTGTGGTCTACAGAGAGGTCCTTCAGTAGAGGGGGGGGGGAAGAGTACATATATCTCACTTCATTTTTACACTACAATCTTCTCCATTAGAATTCCTACAACAAAGGTTACATTTCAAACTTCACATCATCAGTAGCACAACTGGATTTGTGGAACTTAAGTACCATAGCAAGGCACAGGTATCAGGCTAGTTTTCACTAAGAAATAAACTGAAGCACAAGAAATCTCCTGTATGGAAGCCACTCAGAGAGTTATCAGAACTGAACAGACTGTTAACTGTAAAACAATATTATTCTGCATATCCCAATTTTAAAAAGCTGTAAAGAGTATGGAAAAGGACTACATACATGATAAAAGCTCTAAAGTTCAAATCCAATGAAGACAGAAAGAATTTGTTAGAATCAAATCATAAAAATTAGATGGAGCAAATAAGATTGGAGGATAGTTAAACTACCACCGATGTCATCCTATCTAAAAAGAGCACAGAGTGAAAAACAAACTACAGTTCATTCTACTACTAAGGACACTACAAGACGTAGCAGATATAAAGCGCAAGGAGGTGTATTAAGGTTAAAGGTTAGGAAAAACTTTCTGACTATTGGACAAAATACTCAGGTTCCAAAGTCCCTAGCTCTGGGATTTCCAAGAAATGCTGAACAATCATCTGTTAGGTATGCTAATGTATATTCTTGCTTGGGACAAAAGTGTGGATTAAATGATCCACTGCGAACATTTAACTCACTGCATTAGCATAACTTTAAATTGGCATAAGGTCTCCCTTAGATATGAAGCACAGGGACAGGAGTATGGAAACTTTTTTCACATCTTACTGGTAGAAAATCTATGAAAGGTCAGACGAAAGGTGGTCCATATTTGGAGAACCAAAACCACTAGCAGTATAATCCTAGAGAGAGCCCCACCCTTCTACTGCAGGCAAGTCCACAGAAGACAATGGGTTTAGAAGGGTATAACTCTGCTTTCGACTGCACTTCAGGACTGCTAAAAGGGAGGAGTGGGAGAGTTGGTCTATGACACTGTGGGCCTTGGTACTTCAGATGGTCTATGAAGTACCACAGAAACAGGTACTTAAAATCTGGTCAGATGAGCCCCACAAGGCTTCTGAACTGGGGACCAATGACCAAAGCTCTACAAAGTTTAGAAGGAAGGAGCTATTTCATGAAGTCTGAGTAACACCATGATACTCTTAAGGCCCTTAAAATATTTTAAATAAGACAATTACTATACCTTCATCCATGGACTTTGTGAAGTTATACATCAGTGCAGTCAGCCCTTTCAAACACCCCGCTACTACTGGGAACTTGGGCTCTCTTGTTGAAGATGTCATCTAAAAAGAATGGGGGAAGGAGGTTATGTTCAAGTAGTATACCAAAGCAGACTGATATTCAGAGACACACACATAACAAAAGACAGCATTGCTATAAGAACTGAGGCAGACGTTTTACAAATTCTGTTTGTTTTTTTAAAAAATTACAGATTACCGGTGAATCATTACTGGACCCAATCTGGCAAAAGTCAGTAATGGTAAAACCCTTCTGAAATTAATACAACTTAACGAAGTCAACTAAGTTACATTCCATTGCTTTCAACAGGACTTGTTCACAACCAACTTCTGGCAGATTGTGCCCACTGTAGATTACACAGAACCAGAATTTCTTTATGACTTTGTTGGCAAAATACAGCAAGTTAGAGCAACAAATGGATGTAGAGCAACAAATGGATAGTTAACAGTTCAGATAGACTGCGAAGATGGCTAAGTATTCTGAACTTTTTTAAATATAGTAACAGAATACCAAAAGTTTTGATTCTATGGGTATATGTGTAACAAAATAGCTAATGCTCATAAAGATGTAAACAGTAACAAAAATCCTTAGGATTCTGTTTTGCAACATGAAAGAGTTTTACAGTTCACTTCTGCAGTATAGTGTCTCTTTCCTCTAGCACTGATCACAGATTTTCCTCCCTCCTCATTCCAAATTGCTGACACTTTAAGTTAGGAAACAGCCTACTTTTCCAAAAAAAATTACATGTATTCAGTTAAGGAAGACTTTAAAATATTTATCCTGAACACAAGGTTAAAACATACATGAACATTTACCAACGTCCCACAAAAAAGAACTCTACCTGTGTTTTGAGTTCACCCAAATAAGCTCGGAATAATTTTTCAGAGTTTTCAAGCATATCACTAGGTTGGACTTCTCCCAAGACTCCAAGGAGCTCATAAATCCTTTCCAACACTTTGGGGGAGAAAAGAGTTTAGCATCGTAATCATGCATTTATTTGGCAACAGCTGAATCAATAGCTTCGTTGTGCCCATCCTCCCTGTCCTGACCTTTATTCACTGCCATGTATATTCGCACTCTTATAACAACCACAAAAAGAAAAATATTCATCCCACATGGGTTTTCTGTGACTGGGAGAAAAGGTAAGACTGAAAAGATACATTACACTTTTTCATTTATTGCCACCATAATTTAAAAAAACGAACTTGGCTCAAAAAGGAAGAAGCAGACACACTTGTTAGCAGTTCTAAGTCAAGGCATCTCACCCCTGCCACATCTTCAACGACTGTAAGTTTCTTAGCTGCTCATAATACAGCAGTCGAAAGGGAAATGAATGGAAAGGTGCTCATCCCATCCCTTAAGGTATAAAGACCTGGGTCATATCTTTCCTCTTCAGAGGAGGGGAAAAAGAGTGCAAGCTCCCTAGCTATAGCTCCAGAACATTCACACATCTGTCAGGTGAAGAATCCATGTGTATGAACATGGAGAACACAATGAAGAATAATTATCTGTTGAGTAACAGAGAAACCAAACCTAGGCTGCGGTCACACGGAGCATTAGCCACGCTACTGAGACGGATGATAGGTGGATTTTCCAGGCACAATCACACCGCAACATCTGGGAAGCGTAGAGCTCCCATGGCGAACCCGAGGCTTCCCGCCGAAGATGCAGAGTTAAAAACTAGTACCTCCGAGGTACTAGTTTCCGGAAACCGCGAGGCAAGGGCTGGCGTCTGATCACGTTTCCGGTGGCAGTCCGTGGCATCCGGTGCCCGCCCATGTCCCATCGCAAAAAGGTTTTTTTCCAAGTCTCCACAGGATGCGCACAAGCACCCAATGGCGCATGTGCTCCGCGGAATCACGTGTGCCATTGGTGAGATCGCGCCGCTTTTTAGCCGCGCTGCAGGATCGTCGTGTGATTGCCACCTCCCCCCGAACCATGGGACATCGGCGGGACGTGGGATCCGGCAGCCACGCATTAGTTTGCTCTGGGGCAAGCAGCCACGCTTCCCCACCCCCCACATTTTCCAGCCCGTGTGACCGGGGCCATAGTTAGGTTACAGACAGTTATGGGATACAATTTTCACAGGGACAAGCCCTAGATTTGCTAGTGCAGGGTCAAGCTTTTAAAGAGGCAAATGGACCACAAATGCCTGTATTATTCAGCTGCACCCAAAAATCTGTAGCAAATCCAGCAATAAGCAACCCATTCTTGGTGGAATTTGCCTTGTCCTGTGGCTGCCTCTACTCCAGATGCACAGACCCCTGTACAATAAGGGAAGCTGCCTGCTCCTGCTGCACCCCCACCCCTTCTTGGGCTAACTTGGCAATGCTTGTTGCCAGCTGGGGCTTGAAGGATCAGGCTGGTGGAGCTCACTTACAAATCGCTGCACATCCAGCTTGCTGAACTCCAGCATGTGCTACCGCCTTTCTGCTGTGTGGGAGCCAGATAAATTGAGTGCAAGCTCTTGCCTCATTTCCCAGCCCTCCCCATTATGATGCGTTACCCAGACTCATCCCTTTCCTTGCACTCAGTGCCCCCCCCAGGCTGCATACAAACGTGCTTGCTCAGCTCTAGCCCAAGACACCAAGCTGAATTCTTCTTTCCACCCTCCCTGTAGCTTCCTTTCTTTTCAGCCCCATTCTTCGTAAAAGAGGACACAGGGCAAGTATATACCATGGGGACAGGTGAGCCAGGGCTTATTTTGTGTCAGACCCACTGCTGTTAATGCAGGGTCAGATAATAAGACAAAAAGGATCCTGAATATATTTAGATGACTTTCTCCTCATTATTCACCAATAATTCTCACAAAACTAAAACAAGCCCCAAGCCCACAATTCAACAGGGTTAAAGGTATGAACTCTGTGCTCAATTTTGGTCTAGGGTCGAAAGTCTCCAGGGCAGAAACTGGAGTATGTTTCCAGTGCACAAGGTAAATTCTTGAGGCGCACCCTAAGAGGGTCTACTTGGGAGTAAGCCCCATTTTATTCAATGCAGCTTACTCCCAGGACAGTGTTTTTAGGACTGCAACCTTTGTGATATATTACTCAGAATGCCAACTTTTTAGGTGCCGGGAAGGCCTCCTCTGCCTTTATGAGTTGCTAGATAAGTAGAAATTGTACCGTTCACAATACTAATGTTTATAAAGAAGCCAATGAAGCAGCCCATGATTTATGTTCTCCAAGAGCCACTGCATGCGACAGAAGAGAATTAGGTATTCTCTTGAATCCTGTGGTGCAGGCACTCTGGGATGGCAAACTGTTTTGTTCTGTCCCTGCCTCATGGAATGATAGGCAAAGCCTGGGCAGTGCCTTCTCTTGAACATTTTTTGAGCTATTAGCATTGTGATTTATTTTCGTACCACTAAATTGTGGTATAGCACTATGCACTAAGCCAATAGGCATAGGCAGCCAAGCTTCTAAAGTGCATACTGAAGTAAAATCAAGGTATGACATTTTTTGTTGCTCAGGTGTCTACCAACCAGCCCTACTAACTCTGAGCACAATGCACAGGGCATACAGTAGTTATGTGGCTCTGTTGGTTGACAGTGATTGTAAATGTGGCTCTCTGTGAGCCGTGGAGTTAGTACCACTACCCTACGCTAATGTTTACTGCATTATGTCTGAATCCTTTAGTAATTCTAGTGACCCACCATTTTCCAGCTTTTTAAAAGTAGAAATAAATTCAGAATTACCTGTATCTGGAACTTTACTTTTTACAGCAAGTTCACCATAGAATTTGTTAAAGATTTCTCCAACTTTCATGTCTTCCATCACACAAGCTGACCGTACATTCTGAAGCAGCTAGAAAGATATTAGTAATAACCATATGGGGGAGGCAATTTTAAAAGGCAGAACAAGATAAGGACACCTTATTTTCTCTCTAGCTAAGTGTCAGCCTTTACAGACTATTGGATAAAGTTCAAGATGCCAGGAATATGTATTGAGCCAACTGAAAGTTGTAATTAGAGGTGCTGCCATTTATGTGTTACTGTTATATATTCTCTTCCCAAAGGCCGTATTCTTCCTAGTAGCCATTTACTTTAAGACACACTTCATCGTGCATTAAACATACTATTGCAATATTCCTATTACAATAATCTTTGTCTATTTCTACATATAAAAATGTAAAATTAGATGCTCCCAGAAACAAGAATAAAGTTGCAATTTGACATATTGCCACCATTTCTGTGTTGCATATTCCCTCCTGAAGGTAGATCTTTCTACCATGAATGTCACTGACTTAAAGATTAATTTACAATTACAAATAACGTTGTTGTTGTTCAGTCGCACAGTCGAGTCCAACTCTTCGCGACCCCATGGACCAGATCACGCCAGGCCTTCCTGTCTTCCGCAGTCCTCTGAAGTTTGCTCAATTTCATGTTCATTGCATCTATTACACTGTCTAACCATCTCATCCTTTGCCGTCCCCGTCTTCTTTGACCTTCAATATTTCCCAGGATCAGGGTCTTCTCCGGTGAGTGCTTCCTTCTCATTTGGTGGCCAAAGTATTTGAGCTTCAGTTTCATGATCTGGCCTTCCAGGGAACAGTCAGGGTTGATTTCTTTTAGGATTGACTGATTGGATCTTCTTGCAGTCCAAGGGACTCTCAAGAGTCTTCTCCAGCACCATAGTTCAAAAGAATCTATTCTTCGGCGCTCGGCCTTCCTTATAGTCCAACTCTCGCAACCATACATGACTACTGGGAATACTAATGTAATATTCCTATTACAATGAACTTTGAGTATCATTTTACATAGCCCTACAGTGCAATCCTCAACCAAGTTATACCCTTCTAAATTCACTGAAATATATGTGCTCAGAAGGGTGGCACTGACAGATATTCTCATAAACAAGAACTGTAATACAAAGTTTGCTGCCTTGAGTTCTCTTTTGGAGAAAGGAAGGCTAAAATTTCTTAAATAAATAAATACCTTAATCAGTAGCTCTAGGGCTGGGATTCTGCATTTTGCCGATTTATCCTTTGTATAAACAATAATGCATGTTCGCTGCATGTCAAAAGACAATAAACAAATCAGTAAATGATGTGCCACATTTGCAGTGCAATAACTCGCACCAATGGTTCCATTTCAGCATTTTACTTAAAATGCCAGTCTTTTTATACAAAAAAGTAACAGAAGTCCTTTAAAACAAAATGTCCTGTTTCCCTCAATTGCTCTTGTAAAACACCAAAAATGTAAAGAACTTTTCAAAGTACCCTAAGCAAAAACTGGGTGTGTTAACAGTAATGTTAGATTCATACTGAGAAAGACCTCTGCCCAAGATTCTAGAGTACTGCTGCTAGACAGGGTTGATAATACAGCCACAGGCAAGTCATTCTGTCTATTACTTGCAGTAACTTAACTGTGACAGTGTTACAGTGAACAGGAGAGTAAGTACCTCATTCTTCCTGTTCTTCCACAACTCCATCCCAAATACAACTTACACATCTTTGTTACCCAGGAAATACGAAAGCTTCAGCTACATGGACAATTTGTGCGTATCCCAGGAAAAGGAAATAAGAAAAATTGCATTTTGAACATGATGGCACTGCTGAAGAACAGGAGGAATAAAAACAATTTGTGCAGGCATTTAATTCAGCAAAACAATTTCTAACAAGAATGCATTGCAGAACTGATCAGGACTTAAAACAACTCCAGATCAGAGCACTAGCACAGTGATTTTCAATGTAGGTATTATTATAAGGAAAAAGTAGATGTACTACTAAGAGAACAGCAAAAAAAGATTTAACATTATATAAGAGAAAAAATTACATATAAAAGCTAGTAGTTTTACTTTACCTACCTTTACATCATGTGCATAAAGGTGAATTTTCTCCCCAATCTTTTCCAGAAAAGCACAAAGAAACTTTAATATTTCTTCTCTGCATTCACGAAACTGAAAATAGACAGCATTAAAAGCCAATGAGGCAGCCAAATATGAGCAATTAATAAGGACTTAAATTGACTTTGCAAATGGGTTACTTGCTCAAAAAATGTTTTACCAATCTAGGCATACCTATGTTAGTCCTTTGTGGTATAGGTTGGCCTGAAAGGAAAAAATAACCTCTCTCTTCCAATTTATTTATTTATTATTAAACTGTACTTACATCCCACCATTCTCACAGAGCCACAAGGCAGATTTGGGGAAAAAACAAAACAGAAGCACTTCTCCCCCTGGTAACCAGGAAGCAACTCTTTCCATCTGTGACTAGAGTCTATTTGCATACATGCTTTAAACGAAGATTAACTACTTACTTCTTCTGTGCTCAGTGATTTATGGATAAATGCAAGTAACCCATCCTCTTTAGAAAAGACCAGTGAAGTCTGTAAAGCTGTCGGAAGAGAAAGCAAAGGTTTAAAATGCATGCACCAAAACAAATTGTTTCTCTCCAAATGTATGATTCTCGAATACGTACTATACAGATAAAAATGTTACAAAGATGAGAACATCTAAAGACAATCAAATTATTCATTAATACTAGTTTACAGGCTTAGTTATACACAGCATCTGCTCATATCTATGTATCACACAAATGAAACAGAATCTCCTGATGGAGAAATGAAACATGTCCACAAAAGCACATTGTAGGGACAATGACCATCAAAGTTCTTTAATGTTTCAAACTAAAAGTATTTCTCCTTTGGTACAGAAATGCAACATTTGAAGCACATCAACTATAGATTTCTAGAAAATACCTTTCCCTTTAGGAAAGAATATCAATATACCTAACTTCAGAGGTATTCTGAGACATAATTCTGTCTATACATGTATTTCTCATGATAGAATACTGCTAGTTCCTTGAAGGACATTTCTGTCTGCAAGATGTGAACCAGACAGTCCATAAAATATAGCATTGTAACTATTACTCTGACAGTCATTGTCATGCTATGAGTATTGAATGTCATTGTCATGCTATGAGTACTGAATGTCCTCTGGCAAGTGCTAATGTTCACATATTTAACACTTACTTATTTTTACACAACTTTTATTCATTATTATATTCAGAAAAAAATTACACTTTCTCTAGTATCCTGAATTTATGATAAGTTTGCTTACAGTTCAACATTCAAACCCATCCTCTTGTTTATTTCTCTTTTCTAAACTGCCTTTCTACTTAATAGGCATCCAAGGTAGTTTGCATGACAGCTAGGAATGAGGGAAGCAATATGGATTTTCTTCATGAATTCTAAAAGCAAGCTGATTTCTTCTCTGTCAGCTTTTAACTGGCCCTCAACATATATTTCCAGAGCCTATTTGCTCTTTATCAGGTCATTTTTCAAGAGAGGTCCTTTGGTTATTTTACAGTCATGTTTTCCTGCATGCTTGGGGGATGTCTAGGCTTGTCTCCAGATGGCCTGGTTTTGCTGCTTTTATTATTAAATTGGTGCAGTAAACAGACAAAGAATTTACAACTGATTGATGCTAAAAACCTGACAGATCAGAAATAATAACAGCTATTAGCTGTTGTAGATTTTCCGGGTTGTATGGCCGTGGTCTTGGCATTGTAAGACCTGACGCTTCGCCAGTAACTGTGACTGGCATCCTCAGAGGTATAACACAGAAATGAGGATGCCAGTCACAGCTACTGGCGAAACGTCAGGTCCTACAATGCCAAGACCACGGCCATACAACCCGGAAAATCTACAGCAGCTAATGAACTCCGACCGTGAAAACCTTCAATAACAGCTATGATTACAATGATAAAATAGTAGCCCAACAAACAACACAAAATTTAAAGCAAATTATAAAGCCTAACAAGAACGACTTCACTATACACCAGAAAATGATTAGAGAATGTCACATGGTGAACCTCAAAGAAGAAAAGATATCAGAGTTGTGGCATGGGTTGGGGAGGGCTGTGGCTCACTGGCAGAGCATCTACTTAGCATGCAGAAGGTCTCAGATTCAATCCCCGGCATCTCCAGGTAAAAGGATCAGGTAGGAGATGATGTGAAAGACTGAGACCCCGGAAAGCCACGGATGGCCTGAATAGACAATAGTGACTATGATAGACCAAGGGTCTAATTCCGTATAAGGCAGCTTCATGTGTTCATTGCCACCCAAAATACCGGCTCCTTCTTTGGAGGTTTTCAAACAGAGGCTAGATGGCCATCTGACAGCAATGCTGATTCTGTGAACTTAGGCAGATCATGAGAGGGAGGGCAGGAAGGGTTGCATCAGTGCTTAGTTCTTGTGGCCCTTTCTTACACGCCCAGGGAAATGCTGATCGCCACATTGGGGTCAGGAAGCAACTTCTCTCCAGGCCAGTTTGGAGGTTTTTTGTCATCTTCTGGGTGTGGCACAGCAGTCACTGGGGGTGTGGGGGGAAGGTATTTGTGAATTTCCTGCATCGTGCAGGGGGTTGGACTAAATGACCCTGGAGATCCCTTCCAACTCTATGACTCTATAATCACTTATGAACTTCGTAAAAACCTAGAATAGGAAGTAGTACCTTCAACTGAGTCTTTAAAGGGCAATAATTGTTTTATTTATTAGAAACCTTTATTGTCCACCTTTCTTCCTTACGGAACTCAAGGCAGCTTACAGTATAAACAAACATCTGAATTGGCCTCCCCTGCTCCGCTCGACCCTGTCCATCCACTTGCCTCAGTACTTCACTATGTACAATTACACATAGGAGGAACCTTCTGAGTTTAGTTACTAATTGTACTACAGACAACCATCTACTGGTTAGTACAAATTGATGTTTTATACAGGTCTTAATTATGGTATTATGTTTAAATTATTGTTTTTATATGCAGTTGAAACCTACTCTGAGCCTGCTGTGTGGGGAACAGAGAGCTAGAAATCAAATCCCTTTTCTCCACTTGCTGGGGTCCAGTTCTGATTCTGAATTGGCCCTCTCCACACACCTAGGGACCGAGTTCCCAGCATGGAGCTCTAGGCACACATTAGATCTAAAGTCCTTGTGCCAGCCAGTAGATGTTGGTAACATCAAAATCAGCCCTGAGTTTAATAGCTTATTCTTTAAAAAAACCCACAGGATTACAGTCTAGGATGTAAACCCCATTGAACACAGTGGTATTTAATTCTGAATAGAAATGCTTATGATAAAACCTCACAATTGCAATCCTATGCATCCTTTCCTGGGAATAAGTCCTATTGAATTTAATGGCTTTTACTTCTAATTAAACAGGTATCCAATCAGACAGCATACCTGTAATGCTACGCAGGCTCACTTAACTTGGTGGGGCTTACTTCTGAGGGAACAAGCAGCTGCACTGTACCCCAGGTGGCAGTTCTCAAACCTACTGCAACTAAGACGTTAACAGGATCAGTCAAACACCTCAGAACTTTGTCAGACTCAATGCTTAAAACAGCATCTTTTTCTCTTTCTACCCCCCCCCCCCCCCGCTAACTTTTTTGTGCTTTATCTCCAGCATTTCTGGGAAGCTCAAAAGCTTGTTTCCTATTATGCCACATTTTAGCTGGCCCTAATAGAAAGGTGCTGCACTAGTGGGTTGTTGCTGTTTTCCAGGGAAGAATTGGAACATGTTTATTTATTTGCTTACATTGCTTATAGTCCACCTTTCTCACTGAGACACAGTGTAAATTAATACAATCAACAGGATGGGCCATCCAAGGACGATGGATCTACAAACTTTGGTCAGATGGCAATGAGTTCCGCAGTCAACAGCTGCAAACCCGTTTGCGAGAAGTACACATTATAACTTTAAAGTCTTTCCAATACGGTTACTTATCAAAACATAAGCGCGAATGATTACATCGAAGTTTCTAAATCACATCCTTGTGCCCTCAGGCTGCTCTAGAATGCGCCGTTTACGCACCACGAGCGACATCCCCGCTGCTGGTCACACACGTCTCCGCCATGGAACGGATCAGGCTGTGTCCATGAAGAGCGGCACTGGCAGGGTCTGGGCTCTGCAGGGTCCCGTGCAGTTGGAGCAGAAGACCCTGGAGACCCCCGCCGGCTACAGGTAAGGAGATCGCCATGATGCCTCCCGCCCTCGCCAGCAAGAACCGGGCACAGAGGCGCCCTTCAAATCAGCGTTGCGCGGGGCGGGACACAAGTGTCGTCAGAAGGCGGGGATAAGAAACCTTGGTGGGCGGGTTCTAACACGACGCAAGGAAGAAGAAGGCGATTGGATTAACAAGAGGAAAGGGCGTGTTGGACGAAACCATTGTCATCTAAAGGATAGATGCCGTTCTCCTGTCATAACCCGGACAGCTAAAACAAAGAACAAAAATTTTTGTGGTATTTTTAAACATTCCTTCAATATCAGTCTACTGAAATTGTTAATTGCCAGAGCTCCGCGTAGTCCTTTTTCCTTGTCTCCCCTTCCCACGCATGGTAATAGACTATTCCTCCTCGCGACTCTGCGGGTACGAAATCTGTCAAACGTGGGGGATACTATGAGTAGGGCGAGGGGGCAGCAATCGTTGAGGGAAAGTGCTTAAAGACAGCTGTCCGCCCGTAATACAGAACTGCATTGGTAGATAAAGATACACACGTTCTTCTACCACAATCATGCGCTCAAAATGCAGGTGGAAATTACTTTGCCACTCTTTTCCGGGCTGAATTGGTATCTCCCATGGTACGATTGGTGGGAAAGCCCGCGAACCTCGAGGTCATGTGATCCTTTGGCGCGGGATTTTTTCTTCTTTCGTTGAAGAAGAAAACAAATCGTGGTTGTTTGGTCGCGGCGGCGGGGTTAGATCCGTTCAGTGAAAACTGCTTATGTGCCTGTAGGTTATCGCGCGGGTCAGAAAAGAGTCTTGGATACTAGCTAAGCCGACGTATAGGGGCCGCTCACAGTCTCGTCTGTTTTTCTTCTCCCTTCAGCAGCCCCTGAGCCATGTCCTCGCCAGCGTCCACCCCGAGCCGCCGTAGCAGCAAGCGCCAAAGAGGGGGAACGAACCCACCTACGCGTAAGTAGTTCGCACTGTCTCTGGCCTCGTGATTCTGGCACCTTGTCCGTGCTGGCGCAGGCTTTGCTTGTATTTGGGAACGCAAAACCGTCTGGTCCCCCCCCCTCCCCCGGCCTAGGGACGCTAGGTTAGCGGTAACTAGGACCAGGGCATTCTCCCTGGCGGAGGTTCCTCAGGAGATCCGAGCTCTACGGGACCTCCAGCAGTTCCGTAGAGCTATTCTGCCAAGCGTTTCAATAAGAACTGACTGTGCTGGTGGTGTCGTACTAGCACTTTATCACAGGATGTATTAGCTGGGATTTTATGGTACTGTATTTATATGTGTAATTGTTGGTTTTAACTGCATGTTGGTGTTAAATGGCTTGTAAGCTGCCCTGAGCTGCTTCGGCGGGAGGGCGGGGTAGACATTTAATAAATAAAAAAAAATAATAAGTATTTCTTGTTCTGAAGGAAGTGTTGCTATTTCCAAATGTGGGAAGCTCACAGTAGGGGGGGAGATTGTATAGTATTATTTTTCCCCCTATCACTTAACAGCTTTTGAAAACATAAGTGAGAAAGCAAGAATAAAATATAAAGTGAAATTAACTGTAGGTATATGTTTTTATATCTGTTACTTTGTATGGGAAAAAGATGTCCCCTACCTATTTGAAATATGGAATACAAATGCATAGTGAGTACCTAACTCTAATTTTCTTACAGCTGTTGTTGAAGATGTACAATCCCCACCTTCACAGCGTCGTCGTACAGATGACTCTACATCCACAGGAGATTTGCAACCAATGCCAACTTCTCCACCAATTGATACACAAAGCCCAAATGTTCAAGATGCTGTTTTCTCCAGTCCACCACAATTCCAAAGTTCAGGTACATTTGGATTTGAACTGGATAAGCTATTAGTAGCAACAAAGTAAAGTTTATTTTGGCAAATAAAGTTTTTTCTGTTTTCATGTTGAGTTATGGAAGAAGTGTATGCCTAGGAAGAAAATATTGTCTGGGCTAAGTCTAAGCTTTCTAGTTCCAAAAGTTCCACAGGTGTACAACCTCCTGTGGTATTCGTTGTTTTCAGAATCATGGCAACTGTGGAAAATATTTGGATAGTGGAAAGATGAGGCACAAGGATCAGAAATCAAATGGGAAAATATGAGCACCTTCAACAATACTAGAGACCTTCATTGATAAGAATGAACAAAAATATATAATCAAATATACATATGAATTTAAATACCTTAATTGAGATTGAATCACACACTTATCTCTTCCACTGAAGTCAATGCAACATGGAAGTGCTTAACTTTGGGTGAGCCATGATAATAAATTGTGGAGACACACACACACACATATACATACATATACACACATGCAGTAGAAGCACCACTGCATGGTAATCTTCTTTGCATGACATCTAGTCATTTGATTCCACTGATACATCACAGACACGTGACAAAACTGGACCTTATAATCTGGCTCAACCCAAATGTACACTTGGGTGGTAAGCTACGCTATTGATGTAGTGTTCAAATAACTTCAAGTGGTCTAGATTCATGTCTTCAGTGATGCTCCATCAGTAGGCACTGGGAATCCTCCCCCATAATGTACAGTCCAGTTGAGAATCAATAGCTCAGTTCCATTAACTTATATGATTTAGGCTTGGTACTGATGTAATGTGAAAACCTGATATGAATTTAAAAGATCTTTTGGCTCACACTCATTCACTGAGATAAGCAGCTATTTCCAGATTTGCAGAAAGTGATAGTTTGCTATCCCATCTAAACCTGCCAAGTGGTTTTAGTTTACCTCATATATCAGGATTCTTACATGGGAACTTATTAGAATGCTGGCTTGCAGGACAAGGTCAAACCATGTGTGTTGGCGTGTTATTTTCTGTCTTGTATCAGACAAGCCTGTGTGTCACGTACATTACTTTAAAATAATTATCTCATTTTATTTGCAACAGTTCCAGTTGACTTTGATATTAGCTCACCACTGACCTATGGCACTCCCAGCTCTAGAGTGGAAGGAACCCCAAGGAGTGGTGTGCGAGGTACTCCAATTAGACAGAGGGCTGATCTTGGGTCCATCCGCAAAGCCAGGCAGGTGGATCTGCATTCTGATGTGGTATGTATTTCACATTTTATGGGTAACATCTATTTATTAATTCCCGAACAACATGGAGGTTGCATTAAGCATGACACCAGCTGCAGAGAGGGGGAAAGGAAACCTGTTTCCCTTAAGCAATACGAGAACAGAACAGCAGTAAAGACAACTAAACTGGAAAATGCCCCATTTTGTTAACCACATCAGTAATTAAAAGGAAAGAGTTTATCTTGAGATGTTCTTAAACATAAAACAGCACACTGTAAAATTAATATCTTCACAGGCATCTAATAATTGTGAAAATGTTTCTTCCCTATTTTGCTTACCAGAAGCAGCAAAACACATGAAGGAGCCAACTCACGGCTAGCTGATTTAATATATGGCAGGCCACATTTTTTGGAGCTGCGGTGGCTCAAGTGGTTAAGATGCTGAACTGCAGGCTGTGGAAGGTCGGTAGTTCAGCTGTTCGAGACCCAGGTGTGCCGCATGACGGAGTGAGCTCCCGTCTCTAGTTCCAGCTCCTGCCAACCTAGCAGTTCGAAAGCAAGAAATTGCAAGTAGATAAATAGGTACCACTTCGGTGGGAAGGTAACAGCGTTCCGTGTGCCTTGGTGTTTAGTCATGCCAGCCACATGACCACGGAAATGTCTTCGGACAGTGCTGGCTCTTCGGCTTTGAAACGGAGATGAGCACCGCAACCCTAGAGTCGGATTCGACTGGCTTTCAAGCAAGGGAACCTTTACTTTTACTAGGCCACATTTTTAGTTATAGATATAGACAAGAAGGGGGACCCGCAATACTCCTGGGGGGGGAGTATTCCCCACAGCTCCCAGTCTCCAGAAGCAGGACCTCTACAGGAGAAGAAAGCAGCAGCATGTGAACCCAGCAGGCAGACCCATGAGGCCCACCAAGGCTTCTCTCCCCCTCCAGTTTGGTGTAGTGGTTAAGTGCGCGGACTCTAATCTGGGAGAACCGGGTTTGATTCCCCACTCCTCCACTTGCACCTGCTGATGTGACCTTGGGTCAGTCACAAGCTCTGGCACAGCTGTCTTTGAAAAAGAGCAGTTTCTGTCAGAGTTCTCTCAGCCCCACCCACCTCACAGGGTGTCTGTTGTGGGGAGGGGAAGGGAAAAGGAGTTTGTAAGCCGCTCTGAGACTCCCAAGTGAAGGGCGGGGTATAAATCCAATCTCTTCTTCTACTTCTCCCCCCCGCAACGGCAGCAAGACAGTTGCCAGGGCGTTCTCTGCGCACGCACAGGGAATGCTCTTGTACTTTTGGGGGGATTTAAATATTCCCCGTATAGTTCTTTCAACTTTTTATATTTTTCTGCACACCTGGAGACTGCTCCAAGTGTGCAGGGAAATCTCTCTGCCCCCCAAGTGCCCCCGATGTGCAGATTTAGATATCCGCACGGTGGGGGCAATTTGGCTATTAGGTATATAGATAAGACCCTGACAGCTAATAGCTGTTCTAAGCAAGAACAAGTTTAAATATGTTCCCACAGTACTCTTTATTTATTGTTACTCCTCTGGGCTGATGGCTTGAGATTGTTGCAGGCAGTGCAGTAGTCTGCCTTGACAGGACTACAACAGTAATATTTAGGCTGGCCACCTGTGGCTGCTAAACCCTCTGGAGTGGAAGTCAAAGACTTCACAAATTTTAGTAAGCAAGTAAATGGGAGTGTTAGGAAAACTCCATATGAGCTTTTATTCAGCATGAACTTTGCAAATAGCTATGATGAAAAAATGGTTTTGTGATTCACATAAGGAAGGGTGTTCGTAGTGTTGTTTGTGTGTTCAAAGTAAGACTAGTGAAGGAAACAGACAGAATGCTGTATGTTGTCTGGGGCCTAAGGCAAGACACCTGTGGCAAATTTGGGGACTTTCCCCGATGATGCATAAGACCAGCAGGACCCATCCACCCTTACTCATACCTCAGGGAGCCCCTGCCAACTTGGCCAGAACTCCCA